TACTTCCTGATTGCCCCGAAAGCCGGTTCCATGTCCGATGACCGCAATGCAGAATGGGCAGTGTGCGCGTGCGCACACCGGCCCGTTCCGCAGCTATCGGACGAGCAGGCTAGAAACCCGCCGACAATCGTATGATTCTCGGTGGGTTTTCGAGCATGTTGGTTCGACAAAAGACGTGCGACCGTACAGTAGAAACGGTCGCACGTCTTCGTTCACACTGCTCGATTCTCGTACGATCGCGGGATTTTGCCCGATTCTCGTACGAGAATCGAGCAGTGTATGGGCACCTTTAGGCTGGGCACACACCTTACAACCATCGCAAGACTTTTGCCTTCGATGGTTGTAAGGTAATTAAAAAAACGTACAATCTGCCTATCTTGGACAGGCAGATCGTACTTGCGATGATCGCAAGCCGCGCCCCCCTGAGGGGCGGGCTTCCGATGACCGCAATGCCGAATGTGCAGTGTGCGCTTGTGCACACCGGCCCGTCCAGCTTTTATCTTACGAACATGCTACACACCCGCCGAACATCGTACGATGCTCGGCGGGTTTTCGAACATGTTCCTAAGATAAAAGTCGTGCGACCTTACAGTAGTAGAGGTCGCACGGCTTCCACACACCTTACGATAATCGTTCGATCGCGGGATTTCCCGCGATTATCGTACGATTACCGCAAGGTGTGTGGGCACCTTTAGGGTTGCCACTTTTTCTTCAAGTGAAACCCGAGCACACTCTAGTGACGTGTGGACGTTTTTTGGGGGAGAATGAGTGGTGGCTTATTCATATGTAAATATCACAGTTCAGACTATTTTCAGTGGGGCGCCAGTAGCCCCTATCTTAATTTTGGTTGCCCCTGTCTGCCTGACATCTTGTGTCTGGGTTTCTGCTGCCATGAAACCTGGACACAGCATTCAAAACCCGGACTATCTGGGTGAATCCTGGACAGGTGGCAACCCTACTCCAATGCTGATTGGCTGGGAACTCGGTTTCCTGGGAAATCAGCATGGAGCCGTCTTACCAGACAATCAGGTAGTAAGCGGCGTGTCATTACCTACTGCCTCGGCTACTTGATTGCCATGGAAGCCGGCTTCATGCCAGTGGAAGCACCGGAACTCGGTATCGGCGAATACCGACAGCAAAATATCGGTACTCGTACTCAATACCAAAAAAACGCTATCAGTGCATCCCTAGAAAATGCCCATAGACATGAAATTGCAGACATAGGGGTCTATATCTAGCTCTTTGTCTATAGCTGGGAAAATGCTGTTCACATGGCAATCCTGCCACTAGATGGGGCCGAGGAGCTGACGCCAAGACAGGAAGTGAAGGGAAATCCATGATCAAAGTCGGGTATACACGGTTCTATTTTTTTTCCTTCAACCAGCAGGCTGAATTTTTAAAAAAATGGACATGGTAACACATTAGCAGAGGACTGCCCCAGGTCAGACATGAGGAAGGAGACCACACACATGCCACATGACCGGTCTAAAAACATCGGACATATGTAAGTATGACCAAAAATGAAGCAAAACATAAAGCATGGAGGAGGAGGAGGACGAAGATTGGTGGGACTGCTGCCAGTGGTGTTGCCTCCATTAATATTCAGCTATGGCGCCCTGTGTTTCCTGGTGACGCCCGGCACTATATTTCTATTTATACACTAGTATACAATAATAGCAGCGAATGTGATCAGGGCAGCGTACCCCGGGGCTGTCTGCCTTCTCACACCCTCTTTGATGTACCTGCTTGGCGGGAAATATTCCTGGAGGTGATTGTGACGCCTCTAATGATGAAATCTGTGTTATATATTGTCCTTGGCTGTCATCCATGTTGTAATATCCTATCCCGCACAGGCAAGGAAAGGGTTGTGTAAGCTTTAAAGGGATATTAAAGTCTAAAGGTATTTTTTTAACTATTTCAGATGCTGATGAAATCATTTGCAATGGATGCTGCTCATGTTAACATGTTTAGTGTTAGTTTTCCAGTATTTAGGGTGGCTCCTTTCCCTCGTAGGGATCTATGGGGACACCCTTGTGTGTGCTAGTAAGCTGTGTGACCCCACAGACACAGCAAGGCAAGACACTGCCGTCCTCCCTTCTCTAAGCTGGTAGATGGACAGCTGCTGGCTCCCCCAGGTCTAGGGCAGAGGTGGGTAAATCCCACAGGAAGAGCATGATGGGACTTGTAGTTAAATCACAGCTGGGGGATGGAGCTGCCCACCCCTGCCCTAGACCTGGGGGAGCCAGCAGCTGTCCATCTACTAGCTTAGAGAAGGGAGGACGGCAGTGTCCCTCCCCCAGGTCTAGGGCAGGGGTGGGCAACTCCAGCCCTCCAGCTGTGTTTTAACTACATATCCCATCATGCTCTGCCTCTGGAAGTCATGCCTGTAACTGTCAGTAGTCTTGCAATGCCTCATGGGATTTGTAGCTACACAACAGCTGAAGGACCAGAGTTACCCACCTCTGCCCTAGACCTGGGGGAGCCAGCAGCTGTTCATCTACTAGCTTAGAGAAGGGAGGACTGCAGTGTCTTGCCTTGCTGTGCCTGTCGGGACACCCAGCTTACTAGCACACACAAGGGTGTCTCCATAGGACTCTGCTCTAGGGGTACCTGGAAAAGGGACTTTTACTTACCTGATCCCTCCAGGTTACAAGACCGGCACTTGCAGCCTCTTCCCCGCTACACTCCGACAGTCGGAGGGCCGCTGACATCATCATATACAACGCATGGTCCATAGCCCTCCATTATATATGAGGACACCGAGGGACAGGCCATAAGCTGGACTGCCGGGGGAGCGGGGATCAGGAAAATCAACCTGCCACCCCAAGCTGTGCTCAGTCTCTGCATTCGTTTACAAATTCTTTTGCTGTAAATCAGACCCAAGCTGTATATTTGCCTACACGTGGTGATGGCAGATAATGTGCCAGGAGTCGGGCCTAGTGCAGACACAGCAGCCATTATTTGCTAGATCAATACAAGGTCAAATAATGAAAACCAGCTATATGGAGCAGAGGTGAGCTCCCTGGGGCAGCCGTGGAACTACAAGTCCCAGCATTGCATGGGTGACAGCTGACCTCTGGCACCAGAAACTGCAACAGTTCACATCGTGGTGGCACCGTGTCCTTGGACTCTCCTCTCAGAGGACATTTCAAAGTTCAGGAAATGTGTCCTTGAAATGTCCCTTTCCTTGGACACTGATAAACGTAACACGAGAGTCGAGTAGACGCAGGTGGGCGCCATTTTCTCTCATTTCTCTGCATTCACTTTTCCCTGATGCTTTTACTTTTATTGAAATGCATCAAAACGCATATAAACATGTGGCATAGTCTTTTGTTAGGCCCCATTCACACCAGGGCGTATTGTGAATGTGCGTGGAACGTGCACGCTTCAATCCGCCTTCACGATACGCTTGCGTTGCCCATACTAGGTAATGGCACCCCAAACGCATCCAGGCAAACTTTTTTTGCCTCACAAGTTTGTGTGTTTTCTGGGGGAAAATGTGGAAGGCATGTTGCCACATTTGCAATATGTACTTCTTTTCCGCGGTCGGTGCGTGTCCAGGGACCCAATGAGGATCAATGGGGACGCATTCCAAACGCAGGAAACAAATTTAGGAATCTGCACATGTTTAAACCCTGGAGTACACAATGTGTAAAGCTGCCCAGAATATCAAAACACTGGTGGCTGCAGCCAGGGCCGGATTTACTCTCTCTGGTGCCGCAAGGCCAGGTCCTCTATGCGCCCCCCCTACCCGCCAAACCTCCCCCCAATGGAGAACGGTAGACCTGCAGGCTGCATACAAGTGATCTCTGCAACATCGCCGAGATCACTTGTATAAAACAAGCGGCGTCTTCCCCGCTGTACATTTAGCTCTGCTTCCCCAAAGCAGGGCTAAATGTAGAAAACAACTACCCGCCGGGCGCCCGGAACTGCATGTCCCGGGCATCGGGAGATAGGAATTCCACACCCCTGCTGCCCCGAGGCCAGGCCTTGTGGGAAATCCGTCCCTGGCTGCGGCTGATTGGCTGCAATCGCTGTATGCCCGACATTTTCAGCCCAGCTCCTCTGACAAAAGTCGATTTAAGAGTATACCTGTACTACTGAAAATCCATCACTCCCAGACGAAGGCCTTGTCTCATGTCAGTAGTACATGTATGGAAAGATCGATCTGATGATGGGAGGTGATCTTTCAGATATTGATTGATCTGAATGGATGGAATGTTGGCCATGATGGTGGTAGACAATCCAAAATCATTTAACAAAATTGTCCCCCCCCCCCTCAATACGGTTGCCTGCACTGGAACCTGTGGCAAATCAATGCCTGCCTTCTGGTCCTTTCAGAACAATAATGCATGCAGCAATTTTTCAGATCGCACCGTAACGCAGGCATTGATTTGCCACGTGTTCCGACTTCAATACACCACCGCTCTCTCTCCCGCCCCAGATCACAGTGAGCTGGCCGTGATGCAATCCAGTGCGTTCCCGCACCGAATCGGGCCAGAACGCACTGGGGCTGGTGTGAAGTAGCCCTAAGGGGCAGGGCTCTCCTTACCACCTTGTCTTTATTTGTGCTGTAATTGTAATGTCTTCCCTATATTGTAAAGCGCTGCACAAACTGTTGGTGCTATATAAATCCTGAACAATAATAGTAATATACATGCTGAGACTTGTGGTTCTACTCTGAGTGGAATGACACTTGTTGCTTTCCTAGAAGAGCATGCTGACACTTGTAGTCCCCTCCTGAATAACACCGAGCTATCATCCGATCCATGTACCCTCCCCATGTATACAGCACATTAGAGCACGCCGCCGCCCAGCCCGGACTCACTGTACTGTACCGCCGCCCCGCTATTACACAATCAGTTAGATAAGCACACAGACGCGGCTGTCCCTTTAAGATCCGCCGAGGGGCGTGTCCTCCGGCACATGCCTTCTTAAAGCGGCAGCTGCAGCAGTCAAAAGTCAGAGTCAGCCTGCTGATCGCACAGGTAATAGGGGGCATATAAGCCAGCACTGGATCCCCCTCCTCCCTCCCCGTCATGTACACCATTACCCGAGGACCCAGCAAGCTGACCACCCAGAGGAGAACAGGTAACCCTGTGTGTGTATGTGATCATGTGATGAGTGTTACCTAAGGGGGCCCCAAGTGCCTGCTGCTGGTGGGGTGCTCAGTCCATGGCACTGTGGTTTCCTGTGCATGCTTTACATGTGATTGGATTTATCTGATCATCATGTGGACCCCCCATAGGGACAGTGATGTGATCTGCACTGTGTTGACATATCTATATAATGCATCAGTGAGGTCTTGGCATTAGATCCATAAGTGACAACGTGTAATAATTTCCAAGGACACTTTGCAGCTGAGCCTGTATGACATTGTCCTGGAGGACCGACTCTGCTGCATTGCCTTCTCCTGCCTTCTGATCTGGGTTAAAGGTCAGTCAATGTTCCCATAAACATCCCCTGATAATGGGGCAAGGATTTTGTATTTATTGTGCCGGTACAAGGACATTAGCAGGACCTGGGAGGGGGGCTTCAGGGTCAACAGGCAGATGTAGCCACAACAGGCAGGTGTACATCCCCTTGTGACATTGTACCAGTCACGTGTGCACACCTTATGTCACCCCTGCACTGTATTTGTAGATCTATGCCAGCCATTCCTGATCTGTGTTTCTCTTTGCAGGTCCCAAGCAGCAGATTGACACTAAACTGCAGGAGCTGAAAATCAAGCAGCAGCTGCTGATCAACACTTCTTCCTCCAACGGCTGGGACCCCCTTCCAAGGTCAGTGCCGGGGGAGAGGACACAGGGGGGTGCACTTTCTTTTCATCCTGGTTGCACCGGTCAGGGGTGATACGCAGTGCCGATGCGTGACCTTGTATAGAGGTTACCATGTGCACACTGACACTGTCACATGTGTAGGGAGGGGCGTGGCCAGGCGAGTGGGAGAGACAGGGGCTGGAGCCTGTTAACCCTTCACTGCCCTTGCTCACTGAGGTCACAAGTCTGCTCGCCAGCCGAGCCAAAAATCCCCAGCGTTTCCTTTATTCTTGCATCATGATACCCTTGTGTAACTGAACGCAGTGCAGACTGCATGAGGATTATCATCCTGTGACCGTGCTTTGTGTACCGAGGAAGCCAATGAAGTGTATTCAGTAAGGCAAAGTGCACTAAGTCATAGTAGCCAATCAGAGAGCGCTGGTCTACATGGGCTTTTGGGATCATTTTAAGGTCAATATGAAGTTCATCATATCTCCAGGTGAGCAAATCAGACCGTGCGTCGAAAGCATGATAGACGCATCTCGACTGCTATACTAAGGAGACCTATGCTGATAGAACATGGAGGTGCTTCCATTACTGACCTCTCCCTCTGAAAATGCTAGCTGCTTTGGCTGTCGTCCTGATCCAATGGCTTCAGTGAGACCTGTGTGGAAAGAATATGATGGCTTCCATTACTGACCTCTCCCTCTGAAAATGCTTGCTGCTTTGGCTGTTGTCCTGATCCAATGGCTTCAGTGCATTAAGGCAATACACCCCGGAAAAAAAAAAATGCAGATCAGGTCTTTTGACGGCCTAATCTGCATGCTTGTTCCGGACTCTATAGGTATTGAAGCCAGAGACAGCCAGGTGGTTGGTATTGTTAGGAGGCCAGCATTAGCCCTAGTGTTTCCTTCCTTTCTTCTAGGACTCGTTCACACCAGTGCGTTGCGGCAGCGTGCTATATATTGAACGGTAAACCAATGCACATCTTGGTGTGGCAAAGAAATGCAGCATGCATATTTATTTGTGCATTATATCCATGTTTGAATGTGCTGTCCAATGCAACATGCGGCAATGCATAAAAATGTGTGCGTTCTGGTGTGGTGCGTCACGGTGTGAACCAGCCTCTCCTTATATGTGGATACAGTGACTGGAAAGCTTGCTGTATTGAATAGGACCCCTGGTATAGTGGAACTTCTTGGGTTATTGCAAATTCAAGCTTGGTCCAGTCTGTAGTACACTACGGTCTATGTGTGCTTGAATAAAGCTTGTTCCTGCCGGATGACCGTTTGACCTCCTTTGATCAGGAGGACGTAGTTCCTGTGTTAAACTGGCTACGGCAAGTTAGTGTTTTTACAATCCAGTTTTTCACGTCTAGAGGGGCAATGGCATTCCCCCCCCGGGCATCGAAGGAGCAGGCTGTAAAATCCAATGAGGCCATTGATACCCCCAGATTGGGATTGTACATTTCCTGTGAAGTAATGGAGTGCGTCCCCTTGGTCATGTGATGGAACTTTTCCAGCTCATCCAATCACTGTTTTGCATACTATTGGATTCTAGATAGAGATATGATTTGTGGCTGACTAAATACTTTTTTGCCCCACTGTACACTATATTGCCAAAAGTATTGGGACACTGGCCTTTACACACACATGAACTTTAATTGCACCCCAGTCTTAGTCCGTAGGGTTCAGTATTGAGTTGGCTCCGCCCTTTGCAGCCATTCACCTCCATCAATTCCAATCTGAAGGCCACACAAAGTTTGGAGGTCTGTAGCTATTGACTCTGCAGACAGTTGGCGACTTCTGTGCGCTTTAACAGACGCTGACCCCACTCTGTCATTTTACATGGCCTACCACTTCCTGGCTGAGTTGCTGTTGTTCCCAGTTGCTTCCACTTTGTTATAATACCACTAACATGTGACCGCAGAATATTTAGTAGCAAGGAAATTTCACGGATGGATTTATTGCACAGGTGGCAACCTATCACGGTACCACACTTTCACTGAGCTCCTGAGTGACCCATTCTTTCACAAATGTTTGTAGATGCAGTCTGCATGCAGTGGCGAACTACTGCCGGTGAGGGCGGATCCGTTCATCCGGCGCAGAGATGGGGGCGGGGGGCCGCCGGATACATGGCGATAGAATGCTGAGCTGGATCGGGAGCCGCGCTGTGTAATCTGACAAAGTACTGTTACAGCAATGCAGAATGGCACCCTCCTATAGAGGACTACAAATCTCAGCGTACTTTATACAGAAATGCTATTGTTATATATAAAGTATTGCTGGGATGTTTAGTCCTCTATAGCCTGTGGCATTCTGCATTGCTGTAAATATTAGGGCTGCACCGATATATCGGCCTCCAAAAGATATCGGCCGGAAATTGCACTTTTGGCTATATACCGAAAGTGCCATTTTTACTGCTGATACAGCGGCGCATCCGTGCTTTCTTTCCTCCCCGCTGGACGCTGCTCTGTGCAAAAAAAATAAAAATCTTGCACCAGGGCCCTTTGTTCCTTAGGTCTGCCACTGTCTGCATGCCGAGGTGCTTCATTTTATACACCTGTGGCCATGGAGGTGATTGGAACACCTGAATCCAATGATTTGGAGGTGTGGCCCAATACGTTTGGCAATAGTGTGTGTGTGTGTGTGTGTGTGTCTGTCTGTCTGTCTGTCTGTCAGTTGTGACCTCCTGCTGTATGGCTTCCTATACTTAGTTAATCATTATGGGCAGTGTGTATAAGAAAAGGTTGAGTGGAGGCGTTGGCCATAGCAGCTAATCCAATGCTTCCTTTCACTTTCCAATCTATAAAAATGGCATGAGGATTCTGCAGGCTCCTATTCCACCCCATCAACCTCGTGCACCCTGCTGGGTCTACATGAGTGAGAATCTGTTTGGCTGTTTTGAACACACAGGGTGATGGTTACTATCATTGGGAAGTGCTTTGGTAATGTTGGCTTTCCATGCTCAGTACATAATTCAGAGTGCAGTCCAAATATCTGGTGTGTATGTGAGAGACTTCTCCTTACTAGGTCCATCTGTTCTGATATATTTTAAAAGCTCATGAAGTATTTGTAATAATTCTATTCATTAATCTGGGTACAATGGACTAGGCAAGTAGATGGAGCAGAACCCTACTGTAAACAGAAGTGCGTATTCTCCTCTGGCCTTCCTGATGACCAGGAGGCAGTGTTGTCTTGGGGTGTCCTGTCATGAGCCCACAAACGGGGTCTAAGACTGATTTCAGATGGACAATTCTTCTGCCACAGACAAGCCAGCAGAGACAGAATTGCTAAAGTGCCAGTCTGTATGGAATAGCAGTGAAATGTTGCTCTGTCACTGGCCTGAACTCTGCTGAATTTCTATTGCTATCGATGGGAGTGACATCTCGCTGCCTCAGCTACAGACGGAAGCCATTCCATACGGACTGACGGGCAGCCTAAAGCAAACCTTGGCTAATATGCTGCCAGACTACACATTTATGAGTAACTTTTCACAGCAGGAACCTTTAATCCGTCTACTAACCCAAAGGTGGCCAACTCCAGCCCTCCAGCTGTGCTTTAAAGGTGGATGTTTACCCAGATCTTTCAAATAACAACAAAGATACCTTTAGAAATGATTAGTAATGACAATCTACAAACGCATACTTCTAGGTAATTGCCGGCTTTGTATTCTTTGCATTATTTCTATTTTCTTCCCCAGTCTTCTGACAGTGGCCATGTTTACTAAGGGCAGATTACTAGCACTCCTTTTACTTCCCGGAACTCTGGCACATGTGACTAGGACATGTGACCTTGCACATCATCTCAAGGGAGACAAATGTCTTTCCATGAGATTACAGATGAGATTTCCCAGCAATGCTCTGCTGATAAGGCAATCCCAGCGTGCAAACTGAAGTCATTCTGCCCTGTGAATGCTCTGCAAGAGTAAGTATTTCATAGTCACAGCATTTTACACCTGACATGTCTGTTATTATCAATCATCATACATAGAGGGATGCATTGGGAGACTTTGATTTTTGAGTGTAAAGGTCCGCTTTCACTACTAATCCCAACTTACCTCTGCCTCCGGGAGTCATACCTTTTGGCTGTCAGTCTTGCAATGCCCCATGGGACTTGTAGTTCACAACAGCTAGAGGGTCAGAGTTGTTCATTCTTCTTTTACTGGTCTATATGGCCAGTGCAATGTTTACCGCTTCAGGAAATCCTGGTACTAATACAGGGGTTGCAGAGTCCGTGTCAAATGGACCTGTTGTGAAAAGTTGCTAGCTACTGGAAATTAAAGCTCAATTCCGGGCACAAAAACTTTTTTTGAAATATATTCCTCAATAGCCATAAATTTGTATAAATCCACACTGTGCACCAAAGGCCTTTGCAAACCTAGATATTGCCTTAAAAATGAAGCAGCAACATCATTGTGCTGCACATAGTCTGAGCAAAGCTGTGGGAGGGACCCAGCAGGCTGTCTACAGAAGGAAAGAGCGGAGGCGAGACCAGTCACCCTGCATAAGGAGAGAGACCAGCAGTGAGCGGCCTCTAT